CGTGGTATGGTTTGTTTGCAATCGTGTCATTACGATTCATGATCATTATCGAATGTTCTCGAATGCTAGCCAAATCATAGCTAAGCTTAACCACCTGCTTTAATAAACCTCGAAGGGTCTATACCCCACAGTTGGCTTTAAATAAGACCAAACTCAGGGCACTAAATATCACAAGGCTTAAATAAACACACAAAGGGCTCTAAATAAACCACACAGGGCTCTAAATAAACCACACACAGGGCTTTAAATAAACCACACACAGGGCACTAAATAAATCACACAGGGCTCTAAATAAACCACACACAGGGCTCTAAATAAACCACACAGGGCTCTAAATAAACCACACAGGGCTCTAAATAAACCACACACGGCTCTAAATAAACCACACACAGGGCTCTAAATAAACCACACAGGGTTCTAAATAAACCACACACAGGGCTCTAAATAAACCATACACAGAGCTCTAAATAAACCACACACAGGGCTCTAAATAAACCACACACAGAGCTCTAAATAAACCACACACAGGGCTCTAAATAAACCACACACAGAGCTCTAAATAAACCACACACAGAGCTCTAAATAAACCACACACAGGCTCTAAATAAACCACACAGGGCTCTAAATAAACCACACACAGGGCTCTAAATAAAAGTTACCACACCGATTTAATAATCACGATTTAAAGGATATCTTTACCTAAAAAGAAACACACAGACAGAAGCATTCTAAATCTAAACCACTAAGCATGGGTGATTTTCTGCCTCAAAGTAAATCCACTTACAGGAGGGCTCTAATAAACCACGAAGGGACTCTCATTTACTTGAATAAACCGTGTTTACACTTCATTCACGGATTATTATAATATCAACCAGATTTAGAAAGAGAAAATACAATATTACCAAAGGAAAAATGCAGAGAATTAAAGATTTAGACACCAAAGTCTAAAACAAGTTAATAGAACTCAAGGTAAAGATACACTCATGCCACTTATAATGGATAGTGGCCTAAGAACACAGCATGGACTCAAGTAAGGCTCTTAAGATACCATAAGGAAAGTAGGAGACATCAATAACATCACTGTAATAAAACCAGTTATAAACCCAGTCCTTAGAAATTAATAAAAACTAATAAGAACACAAGAAGAAAAAAGAAGAGAACACCAAAAACAAAGTAAGAGAAACCAGCAAGAAAAACAAGAAGAGAACACCAAGTAAAAGAACATCAGTAAGAGAACACCAAGTAAGAGAACACCAAGAGAACACTAAGTAAGAGAACATCAAGTAAGAGAACACCAAGTAAGAGAACACCAATAGGACGAAATAAAACAAAAGTAAGAGAAAAAGAACACAAGTAAGAGAACACCAAGTAAGAGAACATCAAGTAAGAGAACATCAAGTAAGAGAACATCAGTAAGGAGACACAAGTAAGAGAACATCAAGTAAGAGAACATCAAGTAAGAGAACACCAAGAGAGAACACCAAGTAAAGAACATCCAAGTCAAGAAACATCAAGTAAGAAGAACACAAGTAAGAGAACATCAAGTAAGAGAACACCAAGTAAGAGAACACAAGTAAGAGAACATCCAAGTAAAAACATAAGTAAGAGACATCAAGTAAGAGAACATCAAGTAAGAGAACATCAAGTAAGAGAGACATCAAGTAGAGAACACCAAGTAGAGACATCAAGTAAGAGAACATCAAGTAAGAGACACAAGTAAGAGAACACCAAGTAAGAGAACATCAAGAAGAGACACCAAGTAAGAGAACACCAAGTAAGAGAACACAAGTAAGAGAACACAAGTAAGAGAACATCAAGTAAGAGAACATCAAGCAAGAGAACATCAAGTAAGAGAACATCAAGTAAGAGAACACCAAGAAGAACACCAAGTAAGAGAACATCAAGTAAAGAGAACAAAAGTAAGAGAACATCAAGTAGAAAGAGAGCATCCAAGCAAGAGAACACAAGTAAGAGAACACCAAGTAAGAGAACACCAAGTAAGAACATCAAGTAAGAGAACATCAACTAAGAGAACATCAAGTAAGAGAACACAAGTAAGAGAACATCAAGTAAGAGAACATCAAGTAAGAGAACATCAAGTAAGAGAACATCAAGTAAGAGAACATCAAGTAAGAGAACACCAAGTAAGAGAACATCAAGTAAGAGAACATCAAGTAAGAGAACATCAAGTAAGAGAACACAAGTAAGAGAACACACAAGTAAGAGAACACCAAGTAAGAGAACATCAAGTAAGAGAACATCAAGTAAGAGAACATCAAGTAAGAGAACATCAAGTAAGAGAACATCAAGTAAGAGAACATCAAGTAAGAGAACATCAAGTAAGAGAGCATCAAGTAAGAGAACATAAAGTAAGAGAACATCAAGAAAGAGAGCACCAAGCAAGAGAACACCAAGTAAGAGAACACAAGTAAGAAACAAGTAAAGAACATCAAGTAGAGAACATCAAGTAAGAGAACATCAAGTAAGAGAACACCAAGTAAGAGAACATCAAGTAAGAGAACATCAAGTAAGAGAACATCAGGAGAACATCCAAGTAAGAGAACACAAGTAAGAGAACATCAAGTAAGAGAACACCAAGTAAGAGAACATCAAGTAAGAGAACACCAAGTAAGAGAACATCAAGTAAGAGAACATCAAGTAAGAGAACACCAAGTAAGAGAACATCAAGTAAGAGAACATCAAGTAAGAGAACATCAAGTAAGAGAAACAATAAGAGAACATCAAGTAAGAGAACACCAAGTAAGAGAACATCAAGTAAGAGAACACCAAGTAAGAGAACATCAAGTAAGAGAACATCAAGTAAGAGAACACCAAGTAAGAGAACATCAAGTAAGAGAACACCAAGTAAGAGAACATCAAGTAAGAGAACATCAAGAGAACATCAAGTAAGAGAACATCAACTAAGAGAACATCAAGTAAGAGAACACCAAGTAAGAGAACATCAAGTAAGAGAACATCAAGTAAGAGAACATCAAGTAAGAGAACATCAAGTAAGAGACACCAAGTAAGAGAACATCAAGTAAGAGAACATCAAGTAAGAGAACATCAAGTAAGAGAACATCAAGTAAGAGAACATCAAGTAAGAGAACATCAAGTAAGAGAACACAAGTAAAGAACATCAAGTAAGAGAACATCAAGTAAGAGAACATCAAGTAAGAGAACATCAAGTAAGAGAACATCAAGTAAGAGAACACCAAGTAAGAGAACACCAAGAAGAACACCAAGTAAGAGAACATCAAGTAAGAGAACATCAAGTAAGAGAACATCAAGTAAGAGAACATCAAGTAAGAGAACACCAAGTAAGAGAACATCAATTAAGAGAGCATCAAGTAAGAGAACATAAAGTAAGAGAACATCAAGAAAGAGAGCACCAAGCAAGAGAACACCAAGTAAGAGAACACCAAGTAAGAGAACACCAAGTAAGAGAACATCAAGTATGAGAACATCAACTAAGAGAACATCAAGTAAGAGAAACACCAAGTAAGAGAACATCAAGTAAAGAACATCAAGTAAGAGAACATCAGAGAGAACATCAAGTAAGAGAACATCAAACTAAGAGAACATCAAGTAAGAGAACACCAAGTAAGAGAACATCAAGTAAGAGAACACCAAGTAAGAGAACACCAAGTAAGAGAACATCAAGTAAGAGAACACCAAGTAAGAGAACATCAAGTAAGAGAACACCAAGTAAGAGAACATCAAGTAAGAGAACATCAAGAGAACATCAAGTAAGAGAACATCAACTAAGAGAACATCAAGTAAGAGAACACCAAGTAAGAGAACATCAAGTAAGAGAACATCAAGTAAGAGAACACCAAGTAAGAGAACATCAAGTAAGAGAACACAAGTAAGAGAACATCCAAGTAAGAGAACATCAAGTAGAAACATCAAGTAAGAGAACATAACTAAGAGAACATCAAGTAAGAGAACACCAAGTAAGAGAACATCAAGTAAGAGAACATCAAGTAAGAGAACACCAAGTAAGAGAACATCAAGTAAGAGAACACCAAGTAAGAGAACATCAAGTAAGAGAACATCAAGTAAGAGAACATCAAGAAACATCAAGTAAGAGAACATCAAGTAAGAGAACATCAAGTAAGAGAACACCAAGTAAAGAACACAAGTAAGAGAACATCAAGTAAGAGAACATCAATAAGAGAACATCAAGTAAGAGAACATCAAGTAAGAGAACACCAAGTAAGAGAACTCAAGTAAGAGAACACCAAGTAAGAGAAACCAAGAACACAAGTAAGAGAACATCAAGTAAGAGAACACCAAGTAAAGAACATCAAGTAAGAGAACATCAAGTAAGAGAACACAAGTAGAGAACGTCAAGTAAGAGAACATCAAGTAAGAAACACAAGTAAGAGAACACAAGTAAGAGAACATCAAGTAAGAGAACACAGTAAGAGAACACCCAAGTAGAGACACCAAGTAAGAGAACACCAAGTAAGAGAACACCAGTAAGAGAACATCAAGTAAAGAACACAGTAGAGAACACAAGTAAGAGAACACCAAGAAGAGAACACCAAGTAAGAGAACACCAAGTAAGAGAACACCAAGTAAGAGAACACAAGTAAGAGAACACCAAGTAAGAGAACATCAAGTAGAGAACACCAAGTAAGAAACACACCAGTAAGAGAACACCAGTAAGAGAACCCAAGTAAGAGAACACCAGAAGAGAACACCAGGTAAGAGAACACCAAGTAAGAGAACACCAAGTAAGAGAACACCAAGTAAGAGAACACCAAGTAAGAGAACACCAAGTAAGAGAACACCAAATAAGAGAACCCCAAGAGAACACCAAGTAAGAGAACACCAGGTAAGAGAACACCAAGTAAGAGAACACCAGGTAAGAGAACACCAGGTAAGAGAACACCAGGTAAGAGAACACCAAAGAGAACACCACCACTGAGGCAGGAGAGGAGCAGTTAGGTTGTCTTGCAAGAAACATCATGAAGACAGACTAGTCATCTTACCTAGTATACCCAGACGATAGTTGATAGTGACGACTATGACTCGACCCAAGGCTGCCAGGAAGGACCCATCATAGAGGCTGGACGACCCCCACTCGTACGACTCACCGTGGACGAAGACGACCACAGGGTAGGCCGAACTCGGCTTCT